AGAAAGTGTTGAGATATGCTACACAAGTCACAGTGTTGCCACCTACAAATTACAGTCCATCAATTTAAACAGAACGACATTCAATTCAACCATCATCATGAGAGGTTCACAAATATATATCAACACATTAATTTCGAGAATACTCATATTCAATGAAATACATAGATTCTTAAAAGTAAGTTTTAGATATAACAGTTTAATCGAAAGACACTGGATTAATCCACCATATACTAATATTAGTACATGGAGCTCCACAATTCTTGCCAACGGTCAATGAAAGAAGCCGAGATAAACACACTAATTAACCAGTCTGCCAACACAGAATTCCAAAAACCATTGCATTCATGTAGACTAGCACTAGCTCAATTCCATCACATACTACACCACAAAACAGATAACACTCTCAACATCACATAATAAGCTATTTTTCTTTTGGTTTGTTGACAGAAGCTACATAGAAAGACAACATGCAAATACTAAAGCATATACTCTACGTAGGTACCTCATGCGTTGTTTCAGAGCTAGCACAGGATCAAATCCAGTTTGTAGAATGTTAATACCTGCAATAAATGAGAATTAACACCTGTTAATCAATCCATACATAAACAGACAGTAATTTATAATGTGTGGGTGTGTGACTGCAAATTAGGAAGAATACAAGATGATAAAATAACCAATCCCTTTTGGCTACAGACCATGTCCACTTCTTGTTCCTCTTGTTCCTCTTCTTGTTCTTCTTCATTTTCTCCTTCTTCTTACTTTTCCCAATAATCAAGTTTTTACGCTCAGCCTTCCCCTTGTCCCAGGCGTGAGGTGATACAAGGGTCTCGAGACAAAATAAAGGGGAAAACTCGAAAGGCATAGGAAAATCCTTGGCACTCATTGACATCAACTCACACACAGTGAGCTTCTTGCAACTGTGGTTGAGCAGGAGCTTATTCCCATTTTCTGCAAAAGCAAGCGGCCGCACGAAATCATCAGGCCCGATCGCAAACTGGAGCAGCCGGGTCCACATCTCGTGCCCCACCATAACCCAGATCGCGAACCGGGACTCGTAAGCACAGCCCAGAGCTAGCATCCCCTCAAACGCATCAACAGTAAAACTCTCAATGCCCTCGATTTCAATTTCCTGGGGCATCTTAACCTCAAAGTCCTTCTCGTGCACCAGGCTGAAACCATATAAGTGCACTCCAGACCACAGAGTCTGGACAATCGTGTGCAGAGCCCCGTTGGCATGGGCGGGCCAATGGCGGTGAGTATAGGGCGCTCCGTTGGCCCTCTTCCAGGAATTCGACCTCAAGCTGTAAATCCAGTCCTCGGACAACGACCACAGGGAGAGCCTCTTGAACATGTAGAGCATAACCTTGATGATTTTGTAGTCATCGTTTACTGGGTCGTACCCGAACCCGTACGTGGTTCTGCAGAAATGACGCTCGTCCGGTTCAAACTCGCGGGGGCACGCGGGAAGGACCTTGTGCTCTCTCGTGAAAGGGTTCCACAGCACGGGAGGGGCAGGCTCCCTCATCACGACAACCATGCCGTTGACGGAGTTTGAAATCGCGTGCTCGTCCTTTTCGTCGTACTGGAAAGCAGGCTTGAAGGACTCCACCTGCTCGAGCGCGGCCAGGCTCATCCAGCAGAAGCCGTTTAAGCCGTTGATGAGATTCCGGTTCGAGCGCGGTGAGTCCAGCGACCGACGCAAGTGCTCTTTGGCGAAGTTCTCGCTGTCGATCAGAGAACACCACGATTTCTGGACGGCGCGGAAGCGCTTGAGGGTCTTCACTGGAAGGCGGCTGAGGATGTTCTCGGTGGCCTCCAACGGCAGTGGGGATTGCTCCGGGAGGACGACGTTCATGGCTGCTGGGGGTATATCGGACATTTTCAGGTGGGGGTGAGAATTCAATCAACTTTCTTTTTAGGTTTTGCGCCGCAGTAAAAATTTCAAGTGAGCGTGCCAAAATGGTTGTGTGGATAAGGTATATATAGCTGTCAAGTTTATTTTCCAGTCCCCACTTTTTTCGGTTTTGCAGTAAGAAGTCCTTCCACATAATTTGTTGCCCAAAGATTTTTATAAGACCCGAATTCAACTACTATATAAAAATAGGTTTATCTATAATGTTATAATGTTGTATGTTACATTCACCAATTTTTTTTTTACACTCTAATACACACATACACTTTCTTTTATCTCATTAAAATATTTTATTTTAACCCACATGTCATGAAATTATATGCGATATAAAAATGGCATACCAATAAACGGATAATTAACGTTTAAGCGAGATTTTGTCGTATATACATATAGTTAATAATTAATAAAAACACATTCGCATATTCGATAATCAAATATCTAAATTCACGGCATGATTCTTGATATGCGAAATGATTTAGAATATATAATAAATCACATATCCAAATTGATAGCCACATATTTATCATTATGCGACATTGTTTTCATATTTTACGACTCACATATCCAAATCAGACAGACATTTAACAAGTATGTGAAACACTTACGCATGTTATCTAATTGCATACCGTATAATTTACCATATACGAGAAAGTTTCGCATATTAAAAGTTTCTCATATTAATTTATTGCATATCCAAATCGAACATCGCAGTTTTTGGATTATGCGAAATGTTATTGACATTTGTCATTTTCACGTGCATTTTAGAATGATTTTCGTGCCTGTTTCATCGTAGTTATATATAATTAGTTATTTATCTAATTAAATTATTAAGCTATGATGAGGTGTTTTATTTTAAATTTTGTAATAAAAAAAGGATTGAAATAATTATTGAAGTCGAAGACGGCGAGAATGGACCGAAGGCGGTGTGCACCGATGCATTGGAACTGTTCTAAAGAACAAGGCCCGCAAGGAGAATTAAAAGTAGCCCAATTTATGTTGGCGCTAAGTCCAAGTGAAAGGACCTTAGATAAAATTTCAGCCCAAACAATATGGCCCAAAATCACATTAATTGAAGGTATAGTGGTCATTTCACCGGGAGATATGTCTTTCTTCATCACCTTCTTCACGCCTGTGTTACGGCCACCATTGATGAGCTGTGGCTACGTCATCACCGCGCCGTCGCGCCACTACCCAGCCACCGGAGACCATATCTCTGAGCATCGTTGCAAGAATATTGCCGTAGAAGCAGCCTAGATGTTGTAGCACAAATTGTTATTTTTACCGAGTACCGAATCAAATGATTCGTTCCTCGGGTTGATCTCTCGAGAAATGCAGTTTGGAATTTAGAATTGGTATTAATAACACAAAAAAGGAAAATGAATCCTAAACACTCTGATCAGGATGGAGGTAGAATAATTACCAACTAAGAAATAATATAAAAACAATAATCTACCTAAAAATATAAACGAAACAAAGATGGAGAAGCTAGGGAATCGGGTATAATTTATTCAAATTCTTAGCAAACTGGGCAATTAATCGTTCAGTTCGAGATTGACACTCTCGCTTAGACATCTAGCGGTTCGCTCCCAATAACTATTCGTAACCAGGGATTGAACATAGACAAACAAGCTCGAGCATACAATACAGGTCAATTATCCTATCCCAATAACTTTTCGTAACAAGGGACGGGTCATTGACAAGCACGTATTTCAATCCAAAACTTATAGACTATTTAATTACGAAATCATCACCTCTTGCGAGCCTAGGTCCACGACTTCTCCCCTTTAGGTTCTTAAAGTCTCTAATTAACTAGAAGGTGATTAATCAACTAATCGTATAGAATTGACAAACCCTAACTCGACAAATTAACATTCAATCGTTTCCAATCGCAAGATCGAAGTGTCACTCTTCGATTATATCAATCAATCAAACACAAATTCATCAATTTCAAATTATATCAACTCATATAAGCATGAACAAATCAAGCCCGATAAAATACGAATCAAACAAAAACAATCATCCCTTATCCCTAGCAATGAGAATTAGCTAAGTAAAATCAATTCAACACAATCCATCATCTCTCTCAATTCAATCATTTTCATGAATTAAAAATAAAGAGAAGAACTTACAATAAATCGCAATTCCAAGTGTTGAATCTGAATTACAAGCTTAATTCCTAAGTACTATGAAAAAGAAGAAGAAGAAAAATGGAAAAGAAGGGTGAAGAGAAGAAGAAAAATGAAGAAGAAGAAGAAGAAGAAGAAGGGAAGGAGAAAGGAGTTTCGTGTTTTTATACGGGCTAGGGTTCATCCCCAAAAGGGGAGAATATTTTTTCTGTGAAGTCCCGATCAGATATATATAAGAGAGAGGTAACCACGGTGTGAGGGATCCATCACAAGCGAGGGAGGAGTGGGCACCGCGGCGCGGGGCTGTGCCGCGGTGCGGAGAAAGGTCTGGGCACGGCATGGAGAGTCTTCACGGCGAAAGACGCTAGGAAGCCTGGGAGGCTCTGTCGGGTTCGCGGATGAAGACAGTGCCGCGCCGCGGAGGAAGACAGTGCCGCGCCGCGGAGGAAGACAATGCCGCGCCGCGGCGCGCGGGGCTGCTGGCTCGACTGCGCGACTTTATGTTTCGGGCTCATCCGAACTCGGAATTGAGTTCCGTTTTTTCCTATGCGTCGCTAAAGAACTTTTATATTCAATGATGCTTGCATGGCCAAATTATTCTTCAAATCATATTCTCCCAAAGCTCTTGACCTATACACTGAACGTGTTTCGCGAGACTTTGCTTTTTGGGCCCGTTCGGACTCGTCCAAACCCGAAATTGAGTTCTGCTTCTTCCTAAATGTCGCCAACGAACCTCTCTGCACAACCATGATTTCCCGGTCAATTTCGGGCTAAATCTATTCCTCACGGGCTTCTGACCTGCACACCAAAGACGAAGAAAAATCAGAAAAACACACGAAAAACACATAGAAAACCAAAATAGAGCGAAACACACAATAAACTACAAAAATGAATAAAAACCAACGAAAAGATCAAAAATGGGGGAAAAAGAATGACAAAACAATATCGAAAAATGCAACAAAAATGGGACAAACACTAGACGTCGAGTTCGCGTTGGAAAAAACAGCTACCGAGAGCTGGTCGGAATCCGCCATTTCCGACAATTTGGAGCTGACCCAAATAACCATTGGCTCGAATGCTACGCCGAAGAACGAGAAGGAGCAGCCGCGCTACGCCGTCCTTGCGGGGAAGCTGCTGCAGATCACCCTCACTTCACGTCAGCTGCCATGAACCTCCATGTCAGGCGACCTGGACGTATTTTTCATCACCGGGAGTCGACTGAGACGCCGGAAAATCGACAAAGAGTCACGAGCAGCGCTGAAAATGAGATTTGGAGTTGTTTCAGGTGCCCAGGTCAACAAGATGTTAGAGTAGGGTACCCGGCGTTCCAATCTAATTGGACGTATTCTACTTGTAAATACAGTCTATTGGAATTATATTATGAATAAGGCATTTCTTTATCTTAAGAGAAAGCATTTATCTTATAATTGCACTTAAGATAAAATCCCTAGATCACTTATGGTTATAAGGTATGGTTGCGCATAGAGATGGTGATCATGGAACATACCTTGAAAGCCGTGATCTTAAATACAGTTCCAAGTCGATGGATGTTTCGAGATGGGATATCGAATAATCCATAAAAGACTTGCACATAGTTTGTATGCTTGTTGGACAAGAATGTTGCATTCCATCAACATTAGCGTAAGACGTAAGTACATTTATGTGGGTGCTTGTTAGAGAACAAGTTCACTGAACATGACCGTATGAAAATTCTTAATGAAGAATTTATTCAGTCGAATAAGAATTTTCATGTTACAATAGTACATGACTAATCCTAAGACTTGAGGCACAATGGTAACTTTGTGCATATTACATTCTACTTTGATTTATCCTTTTGGTAGCTAGCACTATCGTTTAAAGGGATAAGTTGGGTATTATGTTAATATGTATGGAAGTTTGTTAGTGGCCAATAAAGGATTCGACACTTATGAAGATAAGTGAATTTCCTATGTGTTTCATAGTTATTAATCCAAAGTCCTTGGCCAAGGCAGAGATGAATAGTGATTCATAACCGGGTTAATAAACATGAAATAGAATCATAGTTATTAAGTCAATTTGGGTTTCGACAAAATCATACCCAAGACTTAATCGGGAAATTAGATGTCGAAAGGATTTTACATGTATGGAGTTGTAATCGGAATAGGTTTACTCGCTATTCACTTAATACTAGATTCATGCTACTTGCTAGGTGTTACCATGATATGTGGGTTCATAAATTAAAGGGTTAATTCATGAATAAGAGTTAATAAGATTTAACTCAAATTACAAAGTGTTGTAAACCCACTACTAGTATTAAGGTGAACCTAAAAGGTCACACTAATTATGAACAAAGGTAAAGATTGTATTTCTAATGGTTAGAATTAATTGATAAATATCTAATTTGATTAGATATCAATTAAAGGAATATATTAATCAATAAGATTGATTAATTACATTTTGGATATTACTTTAGTAATTAAGGTAATTACTAAATTAATAAAGTTGAATTTTAAAATAGGATTTTAAATTTCAAAAATCCAAAATAATAATAATATGATTATTATAATATTGGGAAAATGATATAATAATAAAGTCTTGAGAAAGATTCTCAAGATTTATTATCCAATTATTATTTATATCTTTAAATATGATTTAAGGATTAAAATAATAAATATGATTATAATAAAATGGTTGTTGATGGTTGTTTGAACTACTTAACATATCTTATTATTTTCAAAGTCAAAAGTTAGTAAATACTATTTAAATAAAATTTGATTTTATTTAATATTACTAAATGTTGATTATTTTATGCTAAAATGTTTAGTATAAATATATGCAAAATGGTTTTGCATTTAAGTGAAGTTTTTGATCCTAAATTTCTAAGTGTTAGAAAGAGAAGAAAGTGTTCTTCATAAAACTTCAAGAAAGAGTTCTTAAAATTCCCAAATAAAATTCATAAATATTCCTATACAAGAAAACCGAGTCTTTTCTACTAGCGAAGGAAAGTCGTCGGAACCGGGCTTCATAGGGTGGATACGTTTAGAGGGAAGACACTTGGATTCCTCTAGCGAGTAACCTCAAGTCGTTGAAGTTACAACCGGGAACCGATTCCCTCATCCATCATCAATAGTGAAGGAGTTCAAGACATTCGGTAAATATTTTTACTAGTATTTACTTTATAGTAACGAATCAAAATTTGTATATGATGCATGTTTTAAAGATGACGATCAGTTAATTCGCAATTAGTATGTACGGGTGTTGTATTTATACGATAAATACTTACTTTAAAAATTTTAAATTCCGCTGCGTACAGCCCGTACGGTACTATCGAACCCAACACAAGAGTCGTGTGATTGGACACGACTCATGTCGAGCGAACTAGTGCGAAATGAGGTCTCGACTTTGTCACACGAATCGTGTGACATTTTCATGCGAGTCATGTGGATCTAGGAATTTTACACGTTTTTCTATTTTTACGGTTTTTTCGACCTATTTCGACTAGTGGGACTCGACCCCAACTATTTAAGCAACACTAGGGCACGTTTTTTAGGAGTCTTGGGGAGTTTCTAAAACTTTTGAAGACTTTTGGAGGCTAGAAACATGAGGAAGACGAGCGAGAAAGCAAGGAAGAAGAGATCAACGGAGTTGAATAAGTTTTTTCTTTTTGCCTTTCGAACTCAATGTTTTATATTTATTTTTATGATTTTGGAAGCATGTTTCTAGGCTAAATTTATCTAAGATTCTATGATTTGTTAGTACTCAGACTGATTTATGATATAGTTTTTATTACTTTCATTTCGGTTTATCTTTCGTTTATAAATTTCTTGTGCTTATTTTTATTGTATGAGTAGACGACGTCTATGAATTCATGTTTGTGAGTAGACGAGAGGAGATAGATAGAAATTAATCTATGAATTAACTTGTTCGAGAGAAATGTTAAATTAATTTAGCGATTATCTTTACGATTGATAAAATTAAATAAGATTTGGTTGAATTTAAACGTTTCATGAATTAATTCCGAGGAAAGCATAACCTAGAATCTATCTTTCATATCTTGCTTTGTTTATATTTTATTAGGTAAATTAGCTCTTAGTTCAAATTTTTAGTTTATAATCATCATCCCGATTCGTTAGTCTATAGATAATATTTAATCGTCATTATTTTAGTAATTAATTAATTTAACTACAATCTTTGTAGAATACGACCTTGCTCGCCACTCTATAGTTGCGCCGTACACTTGCGGATAGCAAAAATAATTAGCGAACAGTTATCACATAGTTTTCAACTCTCATATCAAATCTAGAAAGTCATATAATTAACGATTATGCATGCGTAACATGTTCGCATGTTCACGAATCGCATAATTTATGATTATTCAAATCAAAATTATGCGAAATTATTTTGAATATATAGTTACTGCATATTCAAATTGATTGTCGCAAAATATTTTCGTATAGTATACGACTTACATGTCCAAATAAGACGCATAGTTAATAAATATGCGAATTAGTTTCGCATATTTTGTAATTACATATCTAAATTCACCGTATATTAACATATGCGTAGAAGTATTGCATATTTAGATATCAGATATTCAAATCAAACGTTGCATATTTTATGATTATGCGACGTTTTTTTTTCGCATAGTTTACGACTCGCATATCTAAATCTATTACGTCGTTGTTTATATGTGAATTTGTATCAACAGTTAATCGAAAGTTAAGTGTGAATTACGGAAATAAGATTGTGAAGTAAAAGGAGATTTGCTGATAGAAATATAGGATTTTGAATTCGGAGAGGTTGGCCCTTAAAAACTTAGGGGTCAGACTCTGAGATTTTATTATCAAATTAATCACCAATAAAATACGGTTTTTTACAATGGATGTAGAGAAAGAATTTCTAGAGAGTTAGGATATTTTTCAACTCTCTACAATAAATAAAACCTATGACTATTTATAGTTAAACATCCTCGGCTACTACCCATCTATTATTCACAAGATCACCTCATACAGTAAACCAGAATGACAAGCATTAAATGAGGTATGACTTGTCTTAAGTGATGATTAACAACCATATAATGCTCATTGACTGGCATTTAATGAGGATATGACACCCTATGAGTCTACGAGTCGTACGTTTGCATGGTTGGTGGGTACATCCCATCGGTCATCATTGGCTTGCAAGCGGCACTATTTTATTATTTCTTAACTTTAAGTGCGCTTCCAGGTCCGAGCTCCAGGATTTCTGAGGTCAGACTTCAGTCTTGACTAGAGGTTAGATCTCTTCCGTCTTGCCCTGAGCTCGGACTTTCTTTTCGCTTCGAGCTCGGACTTTCTTCTTGCTTTGGGCTCAAATTGTCTCCTTGTCTTGCTTGTTTTTCTGCTGTCTACCTATTTCCATGCTCGGAAAGCTTACAACTGGGGGGCCGACCTGGACGTCGGGTTTAGGAGGATCGACTTGGAAGTTCTGCTTTCGAGGATCATTTGTTTGCTAAGCTATTCTATTAAGGGTGTTAAGTTCTGGGTTTATAGTTTACAACTTGGATGCCAACATATAGGCCCGTAAACTCGGATGGAAGGTGTATGAAGTTTCATATGAGGTCGTCTTTCTTAGAGATGACATTCGGGTTGGCCAGGATCCATCTTCGATTGCGCGCGGGCATCTAACTTGCGTAGATTCTTGGTGTATTGGTGACGTAATGCGAAGAGACTCGCATTACTTGTGGCGTGTCTGAAACGCTTTGGGTTTTTCCCCTCAAAAGGCGCGACGCTTTGATCATCCGTCCACGAGGTGATGAATTCGTCCCTAGACTTGTTTTCAGAATTTTGAATACAAAAGACCTAGTTTTTTGAATTTTGAACACGGATAGGTGGCATTACTTGATTTTCCTAGCCTTTCGTATATTTACGGGGTTTTACGGAATTTTCAGACTTTTCTTACTTTGTGATTTCAAGCCCTCTAAATTTCGAGAGCAAAAACTGACTTTCGCCATTAACGAGTTATTCGAGCTTCTGCAGACTTTGTTTTCTCCGATAATTTTAATTTTCAACTCGAATCTATCAATTTTATTTCTTTATTATGTCGACATCCCCACATGTAGTCACCGATTTTGACTTCACCAGAGACGAGAAGATCCCCAAAATCAGTATTGCAATAAGTATTGAAAAAATTATGTTGTAACCCATCACATCAAATATTATAACTTTTTACTAAAACAACACTTCTCAACTAGGATTGCAAACGAGTTCGAACAGCTCACGAGCGTTGACTCCAGCTCACGAAGGTTCGAGTCAACACCCAACTCGAGTTTGAGTTCGAGCATTCCAAACTCGAAATCGAACATGCATATTGTACAATCGAGCACTTGATGAGCCGCTCGAATATGCATACAAACACCTTAAATATTTTTTAATTTGAATTTTCAAGCCAAACTCGGGTCACATTCGAGCCGATCTCTAGTAGTACTGGCTAGTGGAGCTCGACCAGGTATAAAACAAATATTGAGCATGGACTCAATAAGGACGAGGCTCGACTCGATTCGAGTTGACTCGTGAGTTGCCCTAATTCTCAAACAAATAAAAATATTGCCCAAATGAGGACCCAAACTAGCGCCGGCGGTTGGCTTTTTCACCGTCGATCCCACGTGGCGGCATCATGATCTTCACCTAGTTACCAGCGCCGCCCTAAACACAAACGTACGAAACCTGCAACTCTATCTGCTAACACAGCTCGATAAAACCTTTTTCCCCCAAAATCAAAATCAATACATAGCCAGCTCAAAATAACAAAATTCCCAATCCCAAAAAAATTAATTTACTCAAAATAATAATAATAATAATAATAATATTTTCACATTTTCCTTCTTTTTTTTTTTTGTGTTCTGAAACAAGAAATTTTGTCTGAAAAAGCAAACCACGGTTGTTCACTTTTCGCATAAAATGCACACACTACTGCGTGTTATATTCAGGAGTAACCGAGTAAATAGGAAGCAACTTGGTGTGCACACTTTTGCCCTTTTTTCGTACTGAATATGACAAAGAAAAAGAAAATAACAGGTCAGTTTTTGCTACATTTATTTATTTATTTATTTTTTGCAGTTAAAGGTGAAGATTTGATTCTTGATTACTTGGGAAGAATGGTCGGTCACTGCACTTTCTCATTTATGTTGTTTTTAACTATAATTTTGTGACTTTAGTTTTACTTTTACATTTGGCCTTCATCACATATAGTTGATACAGTTAATTAATAACAAATTGTCGATTGAATAATAAGTAGTTCTGATTAGTCGACTAGAACGTTTTGGTTATTTAATTGGATGTTTGATATGTAAAACAAGTAGAATTATAATTTTCAATTATAAAATGCTACACGACTCAAGTTCTTTTATTAGCGAATTTGAACTTCATTACTGATCAAATCTGCTAATTAAATTGATTATTATTGATTTCATTTGATTAAATTTTTTCTACAAAATTCCAATAAAAAAAAATTAAAAAAACAACGTTCTAAAAAAAAAAATACTCAACAAGTGTAATTAATATACATTGTATTGCGATTTACCAAAAATTATTTAACAAATCACTACTAAATTGGCTATTGAAATTCATAATACAATTAAATATCCACTATATACTTATAAAATCAAATAATTATTGATAACAAGACAAGAACATAACTTTTTGATTGTTTTTTTAAAAATCTTAGAGCATCTCCAAGAGTCTCCTTATTCATCTTTCTTATCTCAAAAATAGGGTTTTTTTCTAAAAAGTTGTCTCCAACAGTTCCCTAAATTTGGTCCTATTTTTAAGAAGTCCTCAAATAGAGGCTTCTCTTCCTCATTCTTGGCGAGCCAAAAAAGACCCCCCATTTCTTCTCCCCGCCTTTATTTTCCATAGGCGCTCTTTTTTTTTTTTATTCGTGCGGTCTTTTCCTCCATCTCCTTTCATCTCCCCCTCCACTGCTGCGTGCTCGCAGCATCCTCGCCGCCCTCCACCGCCGCCGGAAAGGTGCCGCCACTACCAGATGGAAGGTACTGCCGTCCTCCTTTTTCTGCACTTTTGAACCGGTGCATTCAGAGATTCATATACTTCATGAAGTGCTTCTGTAACAGCGATGCATTCGTCGTCGTCGTCAGAGGATGTTTCATCCAAGATGCGCATAATCAAGCTACGATCCATGGCTGATGATAGCACCGTCGGAGGGCAAAATTCTCAGTGTTTTCCTAATATGACCGGTCGCCTCCCTGGCCTGACGTGCGGCGCCGAGCACTCGTAGAGTCGTAGATGACCGGTCGCCTCCCTGGGATCGTGAAGTCTGATCGCTGGCGGCCTGTTTAATATAGTTGAGGCGAAAAGTCCAAGTTCAAGTGGGCTTCAAGTGGGCTTTTAAATAGATTTGTGGGCCTGGTTCAAATTCAAATTATAAAATAGGGAGACTCTTGGAGGACAGCCGAAAATAGGAAGCAAATGGATATAAGATGGCTCCTTATTTCTCCAAATAGAAGTCTAAAATAAGGGAACTCTTGGACATGCTCTTACATGCTCATCCGCTACTTATCAAACAATTTATTCTTACCAGTCAAATTTTTTATCCACCCTCAAATCTCTATATGGCCTTAAAATGCTAATTGCAGTCGTACTTTATTTCCAAATTTTACTTTAAATTGTTTATTACCTGCCAAAAAAGAAAATAATAATAATAATCATATACAGGTGACTGCAAAACAACAGAAATGTACGATTCAGTAGGCTCAAAGGTAATTTATAAAATGTACCAAAAAAAAAAAAGGTAATTTATAAAATAAATTAATAAAAATGAGTTTCTTCATATTGCGTATATTAGTGCTCTTTACAGCTATTCATCTTCTTCTTCTTTCATTTCCCCATCTCTCTCTAGCTGGTGAGTATATAGGTATATAGTGTGTATGCACTTTTGTCTGTACACAATACGCATCCATGGAAGTACCATCAGAACACATGTCGTGGCGAGACGAGCTGGCAAGCTTAGTGGAAGATACAGGAATAGTATTCAACGGAGATTCGATCCCAGCCCCGCCGGAGAAATTCCCCACCAAATCGCCGCCGCCTCCGCCCGCCGCGTCGGAAAGCTTGAGGGACCAGATCAAGGGCTTCGCGGTCGCGTGGGGGGAATTGCTGGTGGAGCTGGCGAGAGGGTGCAGGGACGTGGCGCGGCAGTCCCTACTGGCTGAGGATTCTTACATCGTGAGGAAGACCCGAGGACCGCTTGCCGAGGTTTCGGGGAAGCTGAGATTTCTGAACGAGTTCCTGCCGGAGGATCGCCACCCGTCCCACGTCTGGCCCGTCATCCTCTTCGTGTTTTTTCTTGCTCTGGCTGGTAAAATTTTGGGACTTTCCCTTTTACTTTTTCTCTATTACTCGATGATTGAAG